TGACACTTGCAAAAAGGTTTTTGTTGATATTAGAATTCAAAACTCAATTAGAAGTCTCTTAGGTTTTGAGAGTAGAATATATTTTGGAGGTAATAATATATCGGAAAATATAACTAATTTATTGCATGTTAATACTATACATGTCTACAAATGATCTTGTAGAAGCTACATATTTAAATAATACAGTTAAAAATATTATATATATTTAATTTATCCGAAAGTAGGTATTGGATTTAAAATTACAGAAAAAGTAGATAATCCAATTTATTTGAAAATGACATCAAAATCATTTATAAATATGACAATTACATTGATCGATCAGGATGGTCATCTTCTTGATTTACAAGGAGAAAATTTATCTGTTAAGTATCATTTTAAAAAATATTAAATTAGATAGAATAATATTAATTATTATGAATCTATGTAAATAATTTAAAAAAATTATTGCATATAAAAATGACAAAATATTATGATACTCTTAAATATATTTCAAAAGGTCAGAAAGAAAAAATTTAAAATACAGTTGAATCTGAGACTAACGCTGTTATAAAACTAACGCATTACGATCTAATGGGCGAACATAAAATAGCTTTAACAGATTCGCAAAGAAATAGAATGAAATCAGCATATCTAAAAGGTATTGGTATAACACTAAGTAAAGCACAACTTAAGCATAACGCTAAAAATGTTAAAGATGAGTTTATTGGTGCACTTTTACCTTTACTAGGTGCAACTGGAAGATTTTTACTATCAAGTGTTGTTCCAGCACTTTTAACAGGAATAGCCACAGGAGTAGGTGCAGCTACTGGAAATGCTGTATTTAATAAAATTACTAGAAATGGTATTGTCTACATAAAAAAGAATGGACAAGGAATTAAAGTTAGAGCTGCAGGAAACGGATTATTTATAGATCCATAGGTTTATAGTGATAGTTATTGAGGTAATGGATGTTAAAAGTGGAAAAACATATACATCAGTAGGTAAAGGTTTATTATTAGGTGAAAATTGACCATTTAAGAATATCCCATTATTAAATTTGATTCTTTAATAAATTAGTAGATCTGAATTTTCTAGATATAAATATATATTTAATAAAAATATATGTTTTATGAAAATGCACAATCTGGTATATAAATATTATTTAATCCACTTCTGTATTTTCCATAATCTCTTTTGGAAGATAAATCTATAACAGCAAATCCATGTGGTTCAGACCAAGATTTCTTACAAAAATCTTAAAACTTATCTTTCGGCATATCACTTTTAACATGATCATTATAAATATGATTTAAATTCTTTGCATCATGTGGAAACAAGCATATAAAATTTGCATTTTCTCTTATAGTTCTTCTAGGCAACTCAAAATAATTTTGTGCAAGGTAGAAACAATCTACAACACTATGTCTTCCTCTTATATAGTATTTATCACACTTATTTTTTTTTCGTTAATTGTAAATCATCAAATATCATTAAGTTATTCTCGCTAGCATCAAGATCTTCAGGTGCTTGGACATCATCTGCTGTTTCAAAAAACTAGCATTCAATATCTGTTTTCTTTTTTAAATTTTTTGAAATGTCTTAATAAACTCTGGACTCGCATTTAATTTTTCTATTTGATCTTGCAACTTAAATACTTCAAGAACTTCAAAGACTTCAAATATATCTAGAAAATTTTTTTTTGGTAATTTTTTTTTCAAAAGAACTTTTTAATATTTTGTATTCTGGTTGAAAAAGAGATTTTCCGAAAACTTGTAAATTATTATAGTCTAACTAACCAGGTCTTAAAAGTAAGTTTAATAATAAAGTTGTTTTTCCACAACCTAACTTTCCTACAACAATTCCTCTTATACTTTTAGGTAATACTTTATTATTATTACGCTTACTTTTATTTACATTCCATGATAAATCTATAATATCCATTTTTATATAAATATTTTTCTAATTTAAGACAAAATGTTTTCTTCATAAAAATGCCTATAAACAAGATGAGATATACTTAAGATTACATAGAACAAAAAATAAGTATTTTTTTAACGATTAATATAGATTTAGAACATCATGCAGTAGTTAATAATGGAAGATGTGAAGTATTTGCTTATCAAGATTTTGTAATGAAATCAAATTCATACAAGTACATTTCTTTAAAGTGTCGAGTTATAGTACATACAGGGTATGTATTAGTTGCACTAACAGAAAAATATAAGCCACATTTAAAAATTGTTTATTTCTGTAATAGCAGAGTCTACTAATGATATTATTGTAACTTTATATAATAATGATAAAAAAGATAAAAAAATTGAAAAAGGAAATTGTTTATTTTATATCTTATCTTATAACGGAATTATAAATAGAATCAGTTATACATCTAATAAAAATGTTAAACAAATAAAATCTAGCGAAGAGGAGGAATCTCAAAAAGATAAAGATATTGTTAGATCACAAAGTGATAAAGACTGTTAAATCTATATTATCAGGTATAGGAGATTTATTTATAGATAATTTATTTAATCAAGATAATACTAAACCTAATACTCGTAAACATGATTTATTAAAGTAAAATTTAAAAGAAATTTTTCTTTACAAAAAGATGGAATATAATATTGACTGTAAAAATGATGAACATAAAATTGTTTATCAAGATCGTAGTCGTCCTCATGTTAATCCAACTGCACCACCACTAACGGATCATAATTCTCGGTTAAATGAGATAAGTGAAATTAAAAGAGAAATAAAAAAAGAAAAAGAAAGAAGAGATATGTTAAGTAAAAAATGTCAAAGAGCTTCATTTCAGAATCATTTCAGCAATTGATAATTCATTACTAGTAGGTACTATGGCACTTGGAGGTATTGGTTTTTTAATAACAATAGTTGGTTCTCCAGTAGCTATTGCATATGAAGGGGCTGCATTAGGTGTGGGACTATAATCATTAGTAGGATCACAAATATTAAAAATTAAACATAAAACCAGAAAAGCACAACAGTATTAAAGTGTTAGCTAATGTAAAATTAAATACAATAAACGATCATTTTTCTAAAGCTATAGATGATAAATATATTGATGGTGCAGAATTTAAAATGATATCTTCAGAATATAAAAAGTTGCAAAAAATGATTGAAGAAATTAGAAAAAAATCTAAAAATGATATTGATAAAGAGACTAAAGAATCAATATTCAACCAACGTGTGGATAAAGGTTTTAAAAATGCCGTGGAAGTTCTAAGTTGTAGGTTTAATAAAGATCAAAATATTAACAAAATAAATATTAATTAAAGCATAAAATATGTTCATTAAAACATATATTATTTTCATTTAAAACATGAATTATGTAAATAATTTAAAAAAATTATTGCATATATAAAGTGCCATTTTTAAAAACTACAGATCCTGATAAAAGAGATCAAATGATTAAAGAAGTAGTAGAATTTAGGAAAAAGATCAGAATTCTCTGAATCAAAGCTTAGACGCTAATGATTTACAGATTAACTTAACAAAAATGTATAAGCCAATAATTGGTAGTCAGTCTAATATAAAAGAAAACTTATCTAAATTAGAAAATAAAGCTGATCAATTAGCAATTACTTTTTCAAATTCATATTTTCCTGAAACTAAAGCAATAGCGGAGCATGCTATGATATCTGAAGTAATAAACAAAATGACATTAGGAGCTATTGCATCAAGCTATCTAAAGTTATATACTGCTAATAGTAGTAAAAAGGTATCAGATACCATATTCGGCATACATTACAATGAAGATGATGAAAAATTTTACATTGGTAAGAAGCCGATAACTATTGAAGGTGATGATATAACTATTGAAGGTAAAAAATACATTGGAACACCTGGTTTTTGAGAGATAATATTTAAATCTCATCCTGTTAGATATACTAATGATGATCGTAATAAGTATAAAGAAATTCTAGATCAAACAAATGCGATTCGTACTAATATAAATATAGATAAGCCAATATCATCTAGAGGTTATAAATACAAAGAAATAATAAAACCAATTTGGGAAGAAATAACTGAAAAATCTGGAAAAGGAGTCATCATTTTTCCTATTGATCCAGATGAACTAGTTAAAATGCTTCAATTACGCATAGCTGCATTGAAAGCAGGTAATACTGGAGCTAGAAATGAAGCTGTTTCAATTTGTGATGAGTTTTTACGTCAAGGCGTAATTGATTCTGAATATTATAAAAAGGTACAAAAAATAATTAATGTTAGTGGAAGTGGAATATTTGATGATATTAGTAATGTATATAATCGAGTGAAATCTTTAGATTTATCTAAAACATTATCTGCTTTGAAGAATATGTTGTCTAGTAATTTAAGAAAATAGATAAATTAAATAATTATATATTTATGTAGATCCGAAGGATTTTAATTAGCCTCGCTAATTAGAGTAAGTTGAATAAAAATAGTTACTAAATAAAATGATAATTATAAAGAACAAGAGATATATAAAGAAACATGTTATTGGTGGTTACGGACTATTTAGTTCTATGAGAAATATGTTTCAGAGACAAGCTTTAACTAATGCACTAAAAACATCACGAGCTTTAGCTAGTAAAGCAGCTGCTAGTGATTTAGGGAAAACTGCAATAGATGCTGCAAAGTCTGCAGAAAGAACTCGCAACTTCAGCAATATCTACTGCTAAAGACATCGTAGTAAAAAAAAGGAAAACAAATAATACAAAAAGCATGAAATAAAGCAAATAAAGAGCTCACACCTGAAAGTAAACAAATTCTTTTAAATTTGGTTGAATATGTAGATAATAATACACCTAGTGAAGTAAAAACAGACATAATAAGAATTATGTCTGGAGCAGCAATTAAATCTAGTAACAAAAAATCAAAAAAAAAATTTCAAATGCAATAAGAATGCAAGTTTTAGCTAAAGAGAGTAGAGTTAAAGAAAGTCTAGGACTTAGAACAGTGTAGAAAAAATTCATACTCTTGAAAATGATTTTAAAAAATTATCTTGTATATAAAAAAATAAAATGGCAACTTCTGACACATTAAATTTTATAGAAAAACCAATGATTGATGAGATTATTAAAAAATTTGAATACCATGAATTTCAATGTAGGTTTACAAACTTAAACAGTCCTGGTGATGAAATAAGTATCACTATTAATCAAGAAGGCTTATTTACACTTCCATCTGAAGCTTATACACATGTTGAAGGAAGACTTCTAAAAGCAGAAGGTACATACTATGCTAATACAGATGCTGTAACACTTGTAAACAATTGTATTATGTACTTATTCAATAGAGCAGAGTATAGCTTATCAGGTCAATCTGTAAAAAATATTATTAATTTAGGTAGAGCAACTACAATATTAGGATTGTTCAAGTATCCAAATTACTTTCAAAATGTTCAAGGTATGAACCAAATATGGTATAAAGATTCATCAACGTCTGCATCGATTGCTGCAAATGCAGGATTTGCAGCAAGACAATCCTATTTAATTCAAAGTCCAAATGCAAAACGAAAATTTTCATTTTGTGTTCCTCTTATACATATTTTTGGATTCTATGATACTTATGATAAAGTTGTTTATGGATTAACGCATACACTTACTCTAATTAGAGATGGTAATAATAATGCAATTTTTAAAGCTCTAGGCGCAGCTCTTGATGGAAAAGTTAATCTTACTAAAGTATCACTTTTTATGCCACATGTTAAACCACATCTTGAATTTGAACTTAAGCTTAATAAAGAAATTGAATCAAAAGTACCACTTCCAGTATCTTATAGTGAAAGGCATTGCCAATTTGCAAGCGTTCCACGCAATACTGATTTTACTTGGACACTTAACATAACATCATGTAGTACAAGACATAGATTTATCATTGTTGGATTCCAAACAAATAAAAATGGAAGTCAAGAACAAAATTCTGCAATATTTGATCATTGTGACATGAAAAATATGTACGTAACTCTTAATTCACAAAGTTATCCTAAAATTGTTAATTATAATCTATCATTCCCAGATCAACAATTTTCAAGAGCTTATAGGGATGCATCTTTATTTACTAAAAAGTTTTATGGAATGAATGATCTACTAACACAATGCAGCATAAATCTTTCAGAGTATAAAGATTTATATCCACTTTTTGTTTTTGATGTAAGTAAACAATCAGCAGTATTAAAGACGTCAATAATAAATGTTCAATTTAAAACAAAATTTAATACAGCTGTTCCAGCAAATAGTATGGGATATGCTGTTGTAATTTCTGATTGATTAGGGCAACTTATATCTGATGGAAGCAAATTTCAATATATATTACTAGATCTCGAATAGATCAAGACTTTATATAGTAAAAATATACAATAAAATAAATTTATTTGAAATGATTTAAATAAATTTCTTCACATAAAAAAAAGAATGGAAAACGAAAATGTATTATGTGAAAACGTATTGCAAAACAAATCGTATAAAAAAGAATGTAAAATTTCTTACAAAAGATTATTAGAATTAAAATTAGAATTAAGATAAAAAAAAAGAAAGACTAGAAGGATTTAGATTTAAAAATAAAAGACTTGGAAAAAGATTAAAAGGATTAGAAGAAGAATTTGAATTTTATAATGAAAATGAAGAATTAAGATTAGAAATAGAAGACTTGGAAAATAGAATAGAAGAATTAGAACTAGAGTTAAGGTTAGAAAAATTAAGGTTAGAATTGAAATTAGGAGAAAAAATGTTAGAAGAATTAGTAGTAGAAGCAAGATTCGAAGAAGATTTATATTTACTATCATATTTAGTATTTGATAAAAAAATCTTAGAGTCATGAAGAATAAAAAAAAATTAGAAGAAAGATCATGTTTAGCATCTGATGAAGAAAGAACAAATAAATAAGGATTTGAAGAAGAAGTGTTAGAAGATTTAGAAGGAAGATTTAATTTAAGATCAAAATTAGTATTAAGATATGTAGTAGGAATGTATGGAGGAGAAGGATATAAAAAGAAGAATTAGAAGGATTAAAAGAATTATTATTTGAACATAAAAGAATATTAAAAGACTTAAAAGATTATGAAAGAGAATTAGAAGAAGTAATTAGAGCTGGATGCAATAAAATTGAAATAGTAATTTTAGAACTAATACAATCATTATCAAAAAATATCAGTCCATACAATTATAAAATTAATAAAAAAATAAAAAAATTGAAATGTAAACAAAAAGATTACGAAGAGTTAAAAGAAAGAATATATCGCGAAGCATCAGAATATAAAATAGAAAATTTAGAAATAATAGAATCATTATCTAGAAGATCATACATAACAATAAAAGAATTAATAAAATTAATAAAAAAAATACAAGAGTTAAAACGTAAACAAAAAGATTACGAAGAGTTGGAAGAAAGAATAGAAGCAATAAGATTAGAAGACGATTTGAAACTAGTAGTAGAAGCAGGATTAGAATCAAGAAGATTAGAAAGAAGATTTGAAAAGATTTAAAAATATAACACTTTAAAAAAAATATATACAAGAAAAACAAAATTATTTAAATTAATTTTCTTTATATAAAAATTTAAATTAATTTTAAAACTAATTTAAATTAATTTTCTTTATATAATAAAAATGAGCAATAAAGTAAAATATACAAAAAAAAGTATTTATTAAATTTACTAAAAGAAAATAACATTAAAAAAACGTCTAACAAACTAATTACATTAGTTACTCTTGCTATAGAGCATGGACTTGTTGAAAAAGAGTCTATATTATCAGTTGCATATACTAAAAAACCTAGAAGAAGACCAAGAATTCATCCTGTAGTTATAAGAAAAAAAAGAGTTAAAAAGAAATCAGAAAGGCCTGTTGGAAGGCCAAGAATTTATCCTTTTAAGAAAAGAAAGAGCGAGATCCAAAATATGATAGACTTGTAAAAATTAGAACAGATCCAGTATCTATTAAAATAAGTAATGTAGAAACAGGGGAAGAAATAATATATAAATCATTGTACAATTTTATTAAAAAGACAGGTCATGGGTGTAGATATCATGAATCACTTTATGGAAAGACTGAAAATGGATTTAAATATGAGCTCATTAACTCATCCAAATTTACAAAAGAGAGTGAAAAATAAAAAATATTTTGACAAGAAATTAATTAATTATTTTTTGAAATTAATTAATTAATTTCTTTAATTAATTTTTTTAATTAAGAAATTAATTAATTATTTTTTGAAAAAAATAATTAAAAAAAAATAACAAGTATAAGATTTAGATAAGAAAAATAACTCTTTTATATAAAAAATGTAAAATATAAAATTAATAGAATTTAGAAAAATCGCAAAAGAGTAAAAAATCAAATATTATTATAGAATGAGAAAAGCACATCCTTTGAGAGTGTTAGGGCAAAGATCAAATATATTAGACGAACCCATTCAAGCACACATTACACAAAATGCTCTAACACCTTCTCCGTATGTTCCAAGTAATTATATTAATATTGTTAATAATAAAGTGAATTCATTTGCTAATTGGGTTATGTCCTATGTTCCTGAACCCATGAAAAAGACTGCAAATGAGAAACATACATCAATAAAACCTACTGTTTCTAATTTGTATTAAAAATTTGGAACTAGAAAACCAATAGACTTTAAATTGACACAATCAGCTAATAAAAATTTGACAAAGCAATCTTCAGCTAAAGGTGTTGAAGGAAATGATGCTTTGTTCTTTATGAAATCAGCTAAAACTAATGTCATTCAAATACTGAATAGCAATAAAGGATCAAAGATCTATATCGTTCTTTCGAGTGAAATGGAGCGTACTGATCTTAAAACAGGAGAAACTATAACAACTATTGCAACTTTTTCAACAAAAGCAGAAGTTGTTTTAGAACCGACAGATTTAAATGAATTCTATGAATGAGCTACAAATAAAATTTTAGAATCCTTGTCAGCATTTCAACAATTAGGATCAAGTTAAAGATTTGTATCAGTTGAAAAGATGGGCATTAATATCATTGAATACAGCCTAATCAATGCTAGATCTTAAATTCCTTTTAATAAAGAGTTTGCAACTAAAAAAGCAATCATTAATAATAAAAACGAAGACAACGAATGCTTTAAGTGGTTTGTTGCTAGATTTTTTAAAACTAAAGAAAAAAATTCTGAAAGAGTAGATAAAGATCTTAAAAAACTAGCTAAGAAATTAAATTGGGAAAAAATAGAATTCCCAGTGTCACTCGATCAAATTACTTAATTTGAGAAAAATAATCAAGATATAAGTGTCATTGTCTTTGGATACGAAAGTTCAGTTTATCCTTTACGCTTATCTGAAAATAAAAACAGAAAACATCCAATAGACTTGTGACTCATTTCAAATGATGCAACTAATCACTATTGTCTAATAAAAAGTCTAAGTAGATTACTTTCATCACAAATATCTGAACATGATGGTAAAAAGCACTTTTGTAGAAATTGCTTGTTAGGATTTAGTACTGATGAATCTTTATCAAAACATGAATTGTATTGTGATACTCATAATTCAGTACGTATTGAACTTCCAGAACCAAATACAATGATATAATTTGAAAATTATAACAAGATTATGAGAGTATCCTTTGTAGTCTATGCTGACTTTGAAATTTTTATTACACCAATCAACACTTGTACACCAAATCTAAATGACTCCTATACAAAACAATATCAAAGGCGTACACCAAGTTCATTCTGCTATTATATTAAATGCTTTGATGAAAGTATTGAGAAAACTATTGAGAAAACTATTGCTCATAGCATACTAGCTACATTCACTGCAGATAGTGAAGATGATGATGTAGCACAAATTTTTGTTGATAACTTAGAAGCTGATATTAAGAAGATTTATAACACTTATTTAAAATTTCCAAAAAAGATAATATTACCACCTGAAGACAAAGAAAATTTTAATAATGCAAAGTCACATTTGTAAAAAAATATCTTAAAGAAAACAAAATATCATTGTCATATAACCAGTAAATATAGAGGCGCTGCTCATATTGATTGTAATTTAAATTACAAAATTTCAAGTTTCATACCTGTCTTTTTTCATAATTTAACTGGTTATGACTCTCATTTATTCATAAAGAAACTATCAGGAGATGGAATATCAGAAGGAGGAAAATTAAATTATATACCTAACAATGAAGAAAAGTATATTGGTTTTTCTAAAGAAATTAAAGTTAATGAATATACTAATAAAAAAAGAAAAAAAGTTGAAGTTAAAAAAGAAACACGTTTCATGGATAGTTATAGATTTGGCTTCTAATTTAGATAACTTAGTAAAAATTTCAATAAAAGAAAACTATAAAGAATTATCAAATAAAAAATTAAATTTGTTGTTAAGAAAAAGGTGTTTATCCCTATGAGTGGGTAGATTCTATTAATAGATTAAATGAAACTCAATTACCACCAAAAGAATCATTTCATTCAAGATTAAATGATAAAGGAATAAGTGATGAAGATTATTTACTTGCTCAAACTGTATGGAATGAGTTTAATTGTAAAACATTTAGAGATTACCATAACTTATACAATGTTGCAGATGTATTATTATTAGCTCATGTCTTTAAAAATTTTAGAGATCTTTGTATGAAAACTATTAATTAGATCATGCTTGGTATTACACATCACCAGGATTAGCTTGGGATGCTGCATTGTTATTATCTAAAGTAAAATTAGAATTACTAAGTGATTATGACATGATCTTAATGCTAAAGCAAGGAATAAGAGGTGGAATTAGTATAATTTCTAACAGGCTAGGAACTGCTTATAATAAACATATGGAAAAATACGATAAAAGTAAAGAATCAAAATACATACAGTATTTAGATGCTAATAATCTATATGAATGGGCTATGAGTAAACACCTTCCTACACATGGATTTGAATGGATGAGAGAAGAAGAATTAAAAAATTGGAAATCTATTTTTTGTATATTAGAAGTAGATTTAGAATACCCTGAATATTTACATGATGCTCGTAATGATTATCCACTTGCTCCTGAGAGATTAAAAATTGACAAGGTTGAAAAGTTAGTACCCAATTTAAATCATAAGAAAAATTATATCATTCACTATGAAAACTTGAAATTGTATGAAAGATTAGGATTGAAATTGACTAAAATTCATAGAGGAGTAAAGTTTAAAGAGAGTGCATAGCTAAGTAAATACATTAAATTCAATACAAAATTGAGAAAAAAAGCAACAAATGACTTTGAAAAAGACTTTTTTTAACTCATGAACAATTCAGTATTT